TTCTCTTCATCTCATCTTAAAAAATTCTATATTTTCATTTCCAAATAAATAGCCTCTTTTCTCGATACATCATAATCAAATAACTTAATAGCATATTTTAGGCTGTCACCACGCTTTACTAAGGAACGACCTGAAAAGCAGCCTCTTATAGCTTGTTTCCATAGCAACTGCAAACCATAACAACCAATTAGTTTTATTACTAATTTGTTACTCGGAAAGTGTAATACATGAATGAGGTTTTAAAATCAGCATTTTAGTGTGAACTATATTTGTCTATCAGAGCATTAGAAGGCATCTTGTAAACCAAGCAATACATTGGCGCTCTCTGGGTTTTGGGAGTTTTACCTGAAGAGAGCAGTCATAGATTTTTCTCGTCATGAAACAAACAAATAAAATTATTATACTTTGATATATGTATTATCATATACTCATGTTTAAATTAATCAAATTAATCTCACTCAAAATAATTTGTTTTGTTGGTTAACAAATATTTTTGGGCGACAGATTGCTCTATGTTTGAAAAAGCTTCAAACGATACTTCAAAATTTTGAGATCAATAATTTTTAACACCACTAACCTTTCATTTTCAACTTTAAATTTAGATAATAAATACCTTCGTTTCTTTGTAGGTTTCAATGGTAACTTATCTGTATTGACGGAAATCACATTTAGTTAAATTCAAGTGTCTACAGGTGGCAGCAGAATTTATTTTAATTGAATATTATCAAACACCAAACGCGTTCAGAGTAATAGGTGCTATTGAGAAATAAATCCCGTTTGTAACAAGAAATGGTTATAAACGTTTACCTCAGCCACATAATATTTAAAGGTTCACTCAATGTGATAAAATCGTACGGACTTCAGACTCATATAACTGATAGGATAATTTTTTATATTCATGCATATTGAATGCCAGTGATGACCATGAATTTCAGGTCCGTTGGGGAGACAAGCATGGAGGGTATGGAGAGCATTACTGGGACTACAACCACGCTGGACATGTGAGTTTTCCCATTTTTATGTCCTACAAACGTTCTTCAGATTACGACGTAAACACAAAAAGTCAATGACATAGTTGTAACGCTCTTTCCTAACAAAGTTGAATCCAGGATCTGGATTGTTTTTCCTCAGTCTCTCCATAGAAAGCAGGTATAATGACTTAAAAAGCCATAACCGTTTCCATATAAATCCTTATATAACCACCATTCATCATCCCTCATACATATAATCCCCCGCTATATAACCTCTACAGTTAAAAAATAGTTAAATTTGCAAATATATAAAAATTAGTAATACTCCTCTCATTTCTTCGTCCTCTACTGATAGGCTATTATTAAATTTATTCTTACATCTTTTGTTCTGTTGTCAAACGCTTTTTAGCCTTCCATGATATGTCACGAGATACACTGATAATCTTTGTCACATATAACCGAATATAAAGTGCACTGATTTCCACATTAACACCTGACAGCATAGCTCAGTGTTATATTCGCACATGTTCAATTCCGTCTGGCAATTCTGCTAGAAGCTGAAAATTATTCTATAATTCGATAATAATAGAAAATGCAATTTCTACTAGGGAGTTCGAATTAAATGTAGTCTATCCTTTAAATAACCATTAATTAATTTAATATCAATTAGAAACTGGACCGCGAATTATAATCTGACTGTGTTATATTTGGACAAGCACAGAATGTGCTACCACTTTGATCAACAAATTCATAACCTAGATCTAAAAAAATGGATGAATGATTTTTCCTAATTGAAGATGGTACAGGATAAGTGATACAATTTATGCATCGTGTCTCGTATCACGGCCATTAAAATTCCTTCTTTTTTTTTCCCCACAGGGAGGAGAAGGTGGTGACGACGCAGGAAGTGACGTAAGTAATAATAATGTGACGTAAAACAGCACAGTCACATTTATATAAGTAAGCGCGGCTGTACTTCACGAGAAACGTCCAACTGCCTCAGTTCTACAATAAGCGTATACAGAATTTTCTTAGACAAAGTATCACTACGTCATAAAACGTACTTGACAGTCATTCGGTGCCATGATAATGAAAAATTTATCTAACGGGTCCCCCAAAGATTATGAACTTGAAAATGGAAACAGAGTCAACCTCCAAAACGTCGTATATCACATTTATTAAGACAATATATAACGTGAAAATAGAACATCCTCATGAAAAGATACGATATTTCAACATTTAGGGAGCAATATAACACCAACATGACTCGGTCGCCTGTAGTTTCTGAAAACAAGATCTAAAACCTGAAACTGACGGCATTTTTTTAAGAGAAGTGCACAATCTGTACACCACCTGCTTTAAAATAAGTCACGCTCTGAAGTTTGTCTTCAATGTGTATGATTCTTAAAATAAACAAGAATTATTTCTTTAAATCGCATTAACCCAATGATCTTTCGTAAGGTGTCACTGTGTTTACTTTGAGGTAAGAACAGAATTTTTAATCATTCTAGCTTCGTGCTTGAATAGCTGAAGTACCTTTTTCACGCGCATAATAAGCCTCTTAGCAATTACAACCTGGGTTAAAACATTGTATTTAGACCAGTACTCCATAAAATATCAAAGTTTAATTTTATAAACTTCCTTGCATCACATATCGATTTGAACTGCGATTATCAGGCATTATCAATCAGTCGGTTAATTAGTCGATAAACATTAAGTCAATTAGCTGAGAACTTAATCTACGAAACCATTAGGGTTTTTTTTTAATTATTCGCCTAGTCGCTTGGTCAGCTGGTTCATTGCTTGCTTACAACTGTCTGCAGGGAGGTTACAGCGAGCCCGTGCCTCAATACCACTCTGCCGGTGCCAAGGTGACGGCCAAGCGCCAATCCCCTGAGACGTCCAGCAAGGATGATCAGCGTGTCAAGAGGCAGAAGAACATCGACACACCGCGTCTTGTGTTCGATGTTGCCACAGGGCAAGTGATCGACGAGGAGACTGGACAGGTGTTCCTGCTTCAACCTGTCAACTAGACGACCCTCATTCCTCCCGAAGGGGCAGAGACTTGCTGACTCATAGCCCTGCTGCATGCGTTATTATACAGAGTGGACAGTTTGTCGCTAAACCTGCCCCTGATGGCTACCTCCTGTGCCGAAAATCCGCCAGGTTTACAACGCTAGGGCCACGGGCAAACCGGGCACTCTTTAAAAATACTCAGAATTCAGATCACTAACTTCGAATCAGCATCTTAATTATCCTTTCTCGAAAATAATTGTCTAGTTAAGAATTCATTAAGATGGATCTCCATTCCTCTTATACACTTTCGTGTGCCTGAACACAGGATCACCTTTAACGTTGCCTATTTAAGGACGCATACAGCAGGCTCAAAACGAAATTTGCAAGTCTCTGTAACTGATTTTCACGTCAGGCCAGAATGTGTACATGAAATTCAAGTGACGTTTTAGGTCTCAGCTGTCACTAGATCTGTTCACACTGCAAGAAAACCGAGACCAACGATAGATTCACACAGTAAGAAAGTTAAGTTCAGACATGAATGGGAATTCTTACGTATAGGCTACATATTAACCGAGATTCATCTGATCAGTTACTTGTACCCACTAAAGGGAGGTTTAGGTAACCTGTCGTTGAAAAGGTATCCTACGAAAGCGCGAAATCATGAAGGAAACACTATGGCCCCTTCCTGTGACGTGTTACACACAGCAACAGCCATTGAAACTGATGAGCTAATCCTAAATGTCATGGGAACATCATTATTAATCTCTGCTTCTGTAAAGACAAACAAGTTTTGTCTATCTAGAATAGTTCTTTCAAATATGAGATTACTTTTGTTAAACGATATTGTATATTTTATATATTTTTTAGAGTTTGTTACGTTTTTACAACGATTTTTGTTAATAAATATATGTTATCGCTTAATTAAATCATTCATTAACACCAATAACAAATAAATCCTTGTTTTCTATGTTAAAATTCCATTTCCGCCGACAGGAATATCGAGATTCGAACCCCGACGGGAGATATTATTCAAAACCTTTCTATTTTTCAAAATAATTTAATATTAGCTCTGAATCATATAAATTTAAAAATGCTCCATGTCCAATACACGTAGCCTTCATACGAGTCGATCAAAAGCATCTCAGTCGACGGAGTGACGGCTTGCGCTGACTGAAAGATCGAGGTTCGAACCCCGAAGGGGCAGAAGTTTAATTTATTTAATTTTTCAAAATAATTCAATTTCAGCTCTGAAAGACGCAAATTTAAAAATTTTCCAAGTCCGACAGACGCAGCCTACATGGAAGTCGATCAAAAGCAGCTCAGTCAGCGCAAGCTGTTACTGCGCCGACTGAGTTGGACGATCAAGGTTCGAACCCCAACAAGTGCAAATTTTTCAATTTTATTTTTTATTTTCAAAATCATTTAACTTTGACGAGAAGCGGCTACCCGGCGCGGTTTTCCTGGACGTGGCCAAAGCCTTCGACACGGTATGGGTCGAAGGCCTCCTCTACAAGCTAACCGTCGTCTACTTCCCGTCCTACTTGGTGAAAACCATCTCATCCTACATTGCTTGCCGGACATTCCAAACGTCCTTCCAGTCGGACACGTCCACACGTCGTGCCATGCGGGCCGGAGTTGTTCAGGGCGGACTCGTCTCCCCTGTGCTCTTCAGTCAACGACATACCTATACCGTCCCGTCACGCCGAGCTAGCGCACGGCCTTCGTGGTCACATTCCTTAGTCCAACGCTTCTCGTCGGTTATCTGTAGGCCTACCTCGGTAGACTGGAGCTCTGGCTCAGGGCCTGGAGGATTGCTATCAACGTCTCGAAGAGCACCGCGGTTCTCTTCTTTACGGCGAGGAGACGCATCCAAAAGCCCAGAGCAGTGCAGTTACTCGGACAGCCGATACAATGGGTCAAAACAGCGCGGTATCTAGGGGTCACCCTTGACGCCGGGCTTACCTGGTCGGCGCAAGTCAACCAGGTGGGAAAGAAGGCGGCGCAAAGATTGGGTGTGCTAGGTCCGCTCCTAAATAGGAGAAGTGGCCTCTCCATCAGGAACGGTGTGCTGCTCTATAAGCAGCTCATACGTCCCATGATGGATTACACTTGCCCGATCTGGAGGTCAGTTGCCACGTCAGGAAGCTGCAAGTGTTGCAATCCAAGTGTCTTCGCATTGTTACTAACGCGCCTTGGTACGTTAGTAACAGGCAAATACACGAGGATTTGGGGATCCCGCTCTTTGCCGACCTCATCAGAGCACTGACTGAGAGATTTGACTCGAAGTTAGCTTTTGTGGGGAACCCCTTAGTCCGGCAACTCGGGAGGCACTCGTGCCGAACGGGGGCTGTCAGAGGTCATCCAAGGGCAACCGAGGGGGACTGATGTTCAGTAGGCCAGCCGAGGCTGTCCCCAAAAGACGGCCAAGTCGGCGCAACGAGTGGTTAGTCCACTTTTCTACTCTGACTGAGGTTTTCCGTGCTTTTCCTCAGTTGTATGGCGAATGCCAGGGTATAACTTAATAGGGGCACGGCCCGTTACCCCCGATCACGGAGGCCCTCAGCTGAAATCCCCCCCCCAAGCCGCAGAGGCCTTCAGCCGAAACGGCCCCCCCCTCTCTGGGTTCAAACCCCAGAGATCCAACCAACCAAATTCCTTTGGACAACTTGCCTGACGGGATAACCTCCCATCAGCAGCAACAGATCCCAGTTTGAACGAGGCTGTCCCTAAAAGACGGCCAATTCGGCGCAACGAGTGGTCTGACCACTTCCGTGCTTTTCCTCAGTTTTAAAGTAAATTCCAGGGTATAATTTAAGAGGGGCACGGTTCGCTGTCCCCAATCACGGAGGCCTTCAGCTGAAGTGATTCCTCCCCCAAGTCGCAGAGGTCTTCAGCCAAAGCGACCCCACCTCCTCTGGGTTCAAACCCCAGAGAACCAGCCAACCAAAATCCTTTGCACAAAGGACATTTTTCCTGACGGGATAACCTCTAATCAGCAGAAACAGACCCCGGTTTGAATAGTCTAGGCTCCCGCCAAGACAAAATTCCCGTTTTAGTCATAAGGCTCTGTTTACCATTTCCAGCAATGCGTTTCGTACGCAGGAATGGTGTTACCTAGCAAGGGGCGATGTCTTACGCTTCCGCAGAACTCCGCCCTTAGTTCGCTTTTTGGTTGTTTTCGCATGGCTTATTCATCGCCCTGATGATGGAGGCAATATGGACCTCTGTAATGTTGCTGGACATCTACCAGACTACACGGCGCAACAACCCAGAAGACGGAAATCTTCGGAAAAAGTATTGTTTTCAAACTCCAATCAATGAACCTACGACTCCGAAACTCTTTTTAAATTCACCCGTGTCTTGTCGGACAACATTCGATTACCAATTACCACTACGATCGCACGGTCGGATGTGGGGGAAGGGTCGATGATTGGTTATTGTGTTCAAAATGCATTTGGGAAGAATGTTCAGCCCGCTGTAGTAACGAAACTTTGCACTCTTCTTTGCTTGTCACCTTTACCTATTTAAATATCACCATACGTAACAAAATAATTTATCGAGTTATTTGTTAAAATGAAATCAAAGTTTCACCAGCACAAAAGACAGCCAGTGAGGTCAGATATTGAAACTGAAAAAAACTCCATGTAAAGAACACTGTAAGAACAAAGGTACTGCGGAGATAAGATTAAAACTGAGGCTTTAAATTTACGGTCTTAATGAATGACTACGGCCACACGCAAGCCAAAACATCTGAACCAAGCGTCTCTGTAAAACAAAACGTGCACAATCATGCTCGGTTATTAATCATCTCGTTGTTCCTGAGGCATACGTGTCCTATGTTAACCCTTTCCGTGCTAAATAATTTGTTACATAATCATTTTTCAGTATATATTTATTTATTATTTCAGTCTATACACAAACTTGATTTTTTAAAATGTTGTTGTTAAAATTAAAATTAAAATTTAGCGCTTTTCATCGTTATTACGATGTTACATTTCAGCGCATATTATTTTACGACATGTTTCGATGCTATTGCATCATCCTCAGGTTTTTATTGTTATTTTTATCTTTAAAACTAATATATATTTATTAATGCAACCATT